CAGGTCCCATCCTGTGGCTGTGTTCTTCTAGTTCATATAGTCGAGCTTCTCAGATTATTTGTTCAGCATATAGCAAATATGTGTAGTGATACTACCCTGAAACACACCTTTCCTGATTTTATATACCACGCAGCAGTCCCTTGTTCTGTCAGAATGAGGGCATTGAGTAAGTCTGTGTGTTCTCTGCTGTGTCTATCTGTGTGGAGAAGCGATATAGACATATAGGAAACACTGACAAACACATATTTTTAAATTCTTGACTTCAAATGCTCAGTATTTATGGAATAGAATATCTTTAAAAGAAGATCCTAATACTACGCATCTGTCCTATTTATAAGCTCACTTGTACAACTACCACTTTGGGTACCATTTTAGTTGAGGTTAAACAAAAAAAGGGAGTAGTGGTGGTTCAAAAGATAGAATCTGTGCCTTCCGTTTGGACACCCCAGTTCCATTCCTGGCAAATGTCCTTCAAGTGTACTTCATCTGTCAGTGGAAGTGTTCACATTGCTATGCTACACAGATTTCAGTGGAGCTGGCCAATTAAGGCAAACTAGGAGGGGCCCTGAGTACATTGGGCTGCTAACCTCAAAGTCAGCAATTCGAAACCACCAGCCACTCTGAGGGAGAAAGATGAGGCTTTCGAGTTCTGTAAAGATTTAGTCTTGGAAGCCCACAGGAGTAGTTCTACTCATAGCTACCGGGTCACTCTGAGTAGAACAGACCTGATGACAGTGAGGTGTGAGAGAGAGGAAGGCATGGCAATGGACTTCGTAAAAACCAGCCAATGAAAACCCTATGGGTCACAACAACGTAATCTCATTGCACTAGGAGCTGGGAGCGACTCAACAGAGAATAGCACTGAAAAACTAAGTTTAAATTTAAACTTTTTGTTAGCAAACATAGCTTCCTGAAATCCCCGTTTTTAGTGCTTTTTTATGTATTAGCTTTAATCGTACAGACATAGTCATAGTTGGTGACTAGCTTCAGTAAAATAAACTTTTATACCATTATTTCAAGCTACTTTTTGAAGAACTCCCGAGTTACATACCGTGCTAGAGGTTGGTGGAGATGTTGAAAGAGGGAAGGCACACTCCCTGCCAAGGAGCCTTAATTTACATTGGTTTGTATAGCTCTTACTCAGCTGTATCAGCATCACCAAGGAACTTGTTAGCAATGCAAATTAATATGCTGCCCACAAACCTCGGAAATGGAAGTCTGGAGGAGAGGGGCAGCAATCTGTTTTAAGGAGCCATCCAGATGATTTTAATGTCCAGTGACTTAGTATAAGGCTTGTGGAAGAAATCCCCACCTAATCCGTTTGTAAGGCTCAACAGAATGTGCTTCAGGGATTTTATGGAGGTAGAACTCAGGAAGTGCCTGAGAGCAAGAAAAGGTTCATTCATTCATATCCACTCAGCATACGCATAACGTTCCCACTCTATGTGCCAAGCACTGTTGCTGGCATACTGAGCACCTCCAAATGAAAGAGAGTTCAAGTGGCTCGAGAAAGAGGTAACAGATTGGTTTTACAAGAAAGTTAGTAGCTTAAATACACAATTTTGCCTTTATTATGATCTGATTGTAAAAGAAACAAGAAATGACCATTAAAAATGAAATGACATGATAAAACAAAATATGATGGTACTGAAGATAATTATTTGAAACTCAACAGCAGACTGGCCTTAAATATGTAAAAGCGTGGTCCAAAAATGTCAAGTACTTGTGAAAGGCTACATTCATTCTAATGCTTGTTAATTTTTTTACCATAAATGCTGAAGTATCTATAAGATAAATACGGTATCTTAAATATTACACTACCAACAATAGGAATGAGCACACCAAGTCCCCAGTATGCATTTTGTTCATGATGCGTTGTTTATCCACCATTTATTGAGTACCTTAGAGTAGTATGTTGCGGGTTTGGAAAAAGACCACAACAATATCCAATTAGAATTAGTGAAGTCTTATTTTTAATATCAGGCTCGCCTGGGCTGCAGTGTTAATATTCAAAGGGGAACCTCTCTCCAGACTGCAGCTACTCTTCCCTGGCCAATTTTCTTTTATATTATTCAGAGAGGGTAGAATACAGAAAGCAGAAGAAAAGCAAGTTAAAATACATATATCCCTAAATGGCACTGACAGAAGTAAAGCAAAAGTATATTTAGGTAAAGTTTCAGGCGCCTTGGTTTATGATCCCCATTCCAGGACCTTGTCTCTAGCTAGTTCTCCTAGCAAGGGAGGGAAATGAACACTTCAGGGCCTGAGAGAAAGACTTACAGCATCTCTTGATAAGGGGAGAGGGGTAGTTTAAACAAGAATTGGTCGGAGGGCACTTACACACCTGCATTCCATTGTGATGTTATAACAGATTACCTCAGGCCAGGCCGAGGCCAGTCGGAAGAGGGGAAAAATGCACCCAAGGAAAAGTGTTCTCCAGACAGTTCAGTTTAAATGTGGTGATATGAACTTGTTCATTTCAGTGTTCCAGTTCTTCCTCTTTTAATCCTGATGAGATTATCTTGTTTTGCTTCAGGAAACATTCTCTTTATGCTGAGAGTTCTGCCTCTGAAGCACCTAGAATATTCTTAATGGGCCTAGTTTTCAGAAAGGAAATGTGGAAGGAAAGAAAAGCAAGCAGATTCGGCCTCCCATAAAGCACTTTTACAGATGCACAGCGTGAGGTTTCGGGTTAGGTGCTTAGACCAGAAAAACTACAGGGGAAAAGAGCACAGCAAGGACTTGTAACAACACTTCCAGATACAAACTCACTGCGTGGATTCATGGGTGTTACTTGTGGGACTGCTAACAAGGTCAGCAGCTCAGCCCCACCGGCCACTCAAGGGAGAAACATGAGGATTTCTGTGCCGAACGTGCAGCCTCATTAATAAGGGAGCAGTTCTACTCTGCTGGAGCTGGTATTAATCAAAGGCTGGGCCACCCCAAAGCTTACCCTTTCACTACCTCTATATTGTCTCCTCTGACAGGAAACTTAAAACAAAACACACAAACTACTCAGGGCTAAGTGTTATATAACCTTTTGTCCTTCGTTAATTTTTCCAGGAGTGTCAGCATATTACAGTCCCGTTCCTTAACCAGGATTTCAGTGAAGCAGAAAAGGATGTGAACTCAAGTCTAGCTTTTAGCCTATCTAGAAAGCAGCCAGGGCAGTTGCTGTTATCGTGAAAACGTATTTTCCTTAACGGGGAGATGATGATGATGATAAATACCTGGGACACTAATTTCAGTATTGTTATGAGTAAATCAGATTTTAAGACAGGCCATGCAGTGATGAGACCACTTAACTCCCAAGGTGCTGTCTGCCCATTGGGACTCACAGCGACCAGACCACAGAGGACAGAGTAGAACTGAGCCACAGGCTGCCTAGGCTATCTTTAATAGAGAGAGCCTAGAGTGGGTTCAAACTGCTGACTTTTCTGTTAGAAGACAGGATTGAAGGGCTGTACCTTCAGGGCATCCTAACTCAAAGTTAGAGCATCTAATTACCTGCCCTAGCTCAGTATAAGGTTCTGTAGAGCATTAGACAAATTATTTTAATCTTTCAGATCAGCTGCCTCAGAACTAAAATGAAAACCAAAACAAAACCAAAACTGCGTCTAGTAACGTTTAAGTTTCCTCCCAGTTTTGAAATTCACTTTCTACAGGGCTTGGAGTGTGTATCACCTGGGGATCTTATTAAAGTATATGTTCCAATTCAGCACCCTTGGGGTGAAAATGCAAGGCTTCATCAGAGGGGTTAACTGAAAATGATCCTGCTGAAAGCTCTGTCTAGAAATAAAGTATCATATAAAGAATTTTTAAAATTCCAAAATGCCTTTCAGTTTTATCTTGCTTATTTGATTTAGCATCTCACCTATGCTCCAATACTCTTTTGAGGCTTTGACTTTGGGCAGAGTTTCCCATATTTGTAGAGAGTCCCAATAAACTGATACCTAAAGGGGATGCAAGCAATGAGCATGTAGCTGCAATTTTAAGTTTCAAATGTCCAAAATATTACAGGAATTCTCCCAGGAAAGATTTGCCAGAAATAGGAAAGATGTATTGGCGATTACTAGAATTAGGCAAGGAGCCCTGGTGGTATAGTGGTTAAGCATTGCGTTACTAACCCCAAGTTCAACAGTTTGAAACCAAGAGCAGCTGGGCGAGAAATATGAGGCTTTCTACTCCAGCAAAAAGTAACAGTCTCAGGAACCAATAGGGACAGTTCTATAGGTTTCCTGTGAGCTAGAACTGACTTGAAGGCAGCTGGCAGACAATGTACTTGAATTTGTTTTTTCTACTTCCTTATTCTATGATCTTGAACAATTTATCTACTATGCCCGAGTTTCTAACTGTAAAAATTTGTTTTATATACTTTATGGGATTGTAAAGAAGAGGAGGAGATCATCCATCTAAAATACTTCTGAGTATTATTTCAGAGAATACTTGAGTGCCTACCGGTCCCAGGCACTGGGGATAGGGAACTGAGTGAAGTTCCTAGTGCTGGTGGGTTTACATTATATTGAAGAACGTTAAGGAGCCGATCTATAAACAGGCAAAGAAGGAAAAACAAGATTTCAAAGAGAGTAAGTACCATACTTAAAGTAATTTATCCATAAAGAGTTACAATCTGGGAAATCTACAGGAACACTTCCACCCTATCCTATACGGTCACCAAGAGTCAATGGACTCGATGGTAGCGACTGTGGGTATTGTGGCTTGGCAGAATGCTCCTTAGAAGCGAGGGCAGAGAGACTTTCCTCATATGCTTTGGACATGTCGTCAGGTGGGACCCTCCCGTAAAAGGTATCTTGTTTGGTAGAGGAAGGTCAGCGAAAAACAGGAAAACCCTCAACAAGAGGGACTGACCCAGGGGAGAAAATAATGGGCCCCAACAACCGCAACGGCTGAGATGGGAACGTGCCAGGTGGTGTTTCGTCTGGTAGCTCACGCAGTCGCGACGAGTACAACCAACGGGAGGGCACCGAACACCAACCAACCTGCCTCTAGCCTCCAGGCTTCCTCCGCCCGGGCTGCTCTCTTCCATTGGACGTCACGGGAGGCGCGACTAATCCGGCGGGCTCCGTGAACTTCACGCTGGCCTCGCCTTCCGTACGACTTCAAGTCCCCCTCTTCAGCTGTCATTCCCTTTATCCATTTCTTCCAGACAAGCACTCGCCCACAGGCGCTTGTCCCCCGCAGCCACAAGCTTGCCGGAAGCGTAGCGGAGCTAGCGTCGCGCTCGGCGTGACGACGCCTCCGAGTCCCCGCACAGGGCGCGTCATTTCCGGTACGCCGCTCTCGCGGAGCCTGGTGGGTAACCGGCCGGGGCCGTCCGGGCGACGACGATGGCCGGGGATGTGGGCGGTCGCAGCTGCACGGAGTCGGAGCTGCTGTTGCACCCGGAGCTGCTGTCGCAGGAGTTCCTTCTTCTCACCCTGGAGCAGGTTGGCCGCTCCGGGGCGCAGGCCGAGAGGGTGGGCCCGCTGGGGTGGGGGCTCCCACCTGAGCTCGCCTGAAGTCACCCGGAGTGGCCGCCGATCCTCCCGTAAGAGCCGTCGCTCCTCCCGCCCCGGTTCTGCCACTTACCATCCCACATAGTTCCGGAAAGCAGGCGTCCCTCGGGAATCAGGAATTCCCAGAAATGGGATTGCTTCCGCCAAGCCCTTGAGGAGCCCCAAGGCGACCCCTAGGGCCGGTTTGTTTGTATGCAAGGGACCGGGCAAGGGAGGAACTGGGGGGCGAAGAACGCGGGCAAGAACTGGAGAATAGAAATTCGGACCCTCAAGGTTGGAGAGCGTCTGAGAAAACATCATTTTCCGCACACTTGGACTTAGTTTAAAGATGAAGAAAACGGAGGTGAAGTGTCTTAAAGTCACACCATCTGCAAATTAATTGTGCATTCAGGAGAGAAGTCAGCTCCTCATTCTCAGTGTAGGGCTTGCTTTGGCTGTGTGCCTCTGTGGGTGTCTCTGATAGGAGAAAATTAAACGAAAAAAAAAAAGTTTAAAGTAGTAAAGAGTTACTGAAAGTTTCCTTGGGTTTTTATCGAGCAGTTGGTGGTGTAGCGGTTTACGGGTTGGCCTGCGAACCGCTGGGTCAGCAGTTGACACCACCAGCCGCCCCAGGGGAAACATTGGAGACTTTCTTCTCCAGTAAAGATGTACAGCCTCGGAAACGCAGAGGGGCGGTTCTACTCTGAGCTGTAGGGGCAGGATGAATCGGAATTGAGTCCACTGTATTTCATGTTTTCCTCAGTACTCTCTAATTTCCTCCTGCCCTCTCCCCCCCACTAAACAGATTATGGTCGTGAAGGTAGTCATCCTACGCCAAAGTCATGAAGGAACTTCCTAAACTAACCTACCATTTCAAAATCTTGTCCAACACCATTGCCAGGACTTCTCCACATTTCTGAGTCAGTATGCAGTAGAAAATTGATGACGAACTATGGGCTGATATATCAGAAATAGAAGAAGTAAACTGTGTTTTTAAATTTTTAAAAAGGAATTGTAATTAGGGGGCATAGATTGAATTTCCTCACCTCAATGGTAGGAAACAAATGTTTTGAGAAATGAAATTACAGAGCATGTGGTCCTACTGCCTTTCTTACCCATTTTCATAACAATTCCAGAGTCTGGAGCTGTCTGTTTTGCTTGATGAAGAAAACATTGAGAAACGAAGAGAGAATGAGGATTTAGAGAGCGATGCTTAACAGTCACTGAAATGCCCTTGAGAGCATGCAGAGCATGTTCACCCAACGATGTCCTGTTTCTGTCATCAGTAAGGGGACCACCAGGTTTTCATCTCAAAGGCCATTTGAAATCTGGAGTTACCCTTTAATAAGCGCTGCATTAAGGGAACGTGGGAAATAATGAGTGGGATGGCCACCCCATGAAGCTGGCATTGTTAGCACTCTAGGTAGCTCTGTGGGAGAATGTGGTAGTTATCACTGTTGACTTTCTTGTGTGTTTTCCCCAGCAAGACCCTTTATTCAGATCTCGTGAATAGATTCAGATAATGCTACTGGAAATGTTCTGCATTACTAGAGTGTTGTCAAAGCAGTCCATTGCAGCAGTCCTTGTCATGTGCCCATTGTCCTTAGATAAGACCAGACCTAATATTGACAGAGACTAACGTCTCCATGATACAACTCTTACAGCACCTTGTTTAGATCCCTGGGTGGTGCAGGCTCTAGTCTTTGACTACTAGCCAAAGGGCTGGTCGTCTGAATCCAGCCAGCAGCTTCTAGGCAGACAAACCTGGCAGCCTGCCGCCGAAAGGCCACCGTCTTGGAGCAGATCTCCTCTGCCACGTGGGCCACCAGGAGTCAACTCACCTGCCTCGATGGCACAACATAGGGCTGTGAGGAGGTTGTCTAGTTGTGGGGGGGTGGGGGGTTTACAAGTTGTTCTTTTACACAGTAAAATTTTACCATGCCAGTTCAGTAGCTAGTTAGTTACTAAAATGAAGGCTACTATTTGAAACTTCTTTTGGTTTCTTTTTCACAGAAGAACATAGCTGTTGAAAATGACAGGAGAGTGAATAAAGACGTTCTTACTGATCTCTATGTCCAGCATGCAATACCATTGCCTCAGAGAGCTTTACCAAAGAACCGATGGGGGAAAACGATGGAAAAGAAAAGGGAGCAGCATGAGGTACAGCACGGGATTAAAAGGTAATTTTAAATGGTTCTAGTTTTTATGCTATGTGACTAAACAGTTGTTCTCCACCCCCCAGATAAACTTGGGTTAAAAAAAATCCATTCATTCCACAACTGTTTATTGCGTAAGTCGCACGGGATTAAAAGGTAATTTTAAATGGTTCTAGTTTTTATGCTATGTGACTAAACAGTTGTTCTCCACCCCCCAGATAAACTTGGGTTAAAAAAAATCCATTCATTCCACAACTGTTTATTGCGTAAGTCGTTTTCATGGCATAGGAGCTAAAGTGCTCAGATTCTAACTAAAAGGTCAAGATTCCAACCCATCAGCTGCTCTGTGGGAGAAAGATGTAGGAATCTGCTTCTGTGAAGATGGCCATCTTGGAAATCCATGAGGCAGTTCTCCTCTGTTCTCCAGGGTCACTATATGGTTAAATAGAGTCCACCTTGGTTATTGCATGTAATAAAACCATCAGAAGAGGACCTGTTACATATATGTGTATGTATTAGTGAGGGGAAATGTAATAAAAAGTTAAAATGTCTCGTAACTTATATAGTGATAAGTGCCCAGGGAAAAGGCAAAATAAGAAGAATCCCAATTTTAGGGTGGCATAGTAAGGAGTCCTGGTGGCATAGTAGAATATACATTGGGCTGCTAACTGCAAGGTCAGCAGTTCAAAACTACCAGCCCCTCCACGGGAGAATGACGAGGCTTTCTACAGTCTGCCTTGTAGGGTTGCTATGAGTTGGAGTGAACTCGGTGGCAGCGAGTTCAGTCAAGAATGGACATGTCATGGTAGAGATCTACAGAAAGTAAAGAGCAAGCTAGCGTTTCAGGCAGAGTCAGCTGGACCTTGGCTCGGGCATATGCCCATCATGTACCAGGCATGGCAGAGGCCCTTAGGACTGGAGTACATAAATCAAGGGGAAAGTAGTAGGCCAGAGGTTTGTGGGGATGAATGGACCAAAACTGCTGAGGCATGCAAAGCCTGTGTATGTAAATCACTGAAAGAACTTTGGTTTCACTTTGAAAGATGAGAATCCTCCTTCTAAATAATAACATGAATGGTCAAGCCCAGGGGTGTCAAACTGGCAGTCCACGGGTGGACCATGAGGTAATTTTTTGTGGCCTGCAATGCTCTGAAATAAAATGAAAATAGAAAAAATTGTTGTTTTTTATCTGCTTTTTAAAAAATCATTCTATTGAGGGCTCATACAATTCTTATCATAATCCATGCATACATCCATTGTATAAAGCACATTTGTACATTCATTACCCTCATTATTCTCAAAACATGTAAGTCCCTGGCATCAGCTCCTCATTTTTCCCACTCCCTCATGAATCCTTGATAATTTATAAATTCTTATTTTGTCATATCTAACACTGTCCGACATTGCCCTTCACCAACTTTTCAGTTGTCTGTCCCCCAGGGAGGAGGTTATATGTAGATCCCTGTAATCGGTTCCTCCCCTTTACCCTACCCTCCCTCCACCCTCTCGTTATTGCCACTTTCACCACTGGTCCTGAAGGGATCATCCGCCCCGTATTCCCTGTGTTTCCACTTCCTATCTGTACCAGTGTACATCCTCTGGTCTAGCCAGATATGTAAGGTAGAATTGGGATAATAGTGGGTGGGGAGGAAGCATTTAGGAACTAGAGGAAAGTTGTAATTTTCATTGTTGCTACACTGCACCCTGACTGACTAGTCTCATCCCTGCCACCCTTCCGTAAGGGGATGTCCAGTTGCCTACAGATGGGCTTTGGGTCCCCACTCCGCACTCCCCCTCATTCACAGTGATATGATTTTTAGTTCTGATGATGCCTGATACCTGATCCCATTGACACCTTGTGATCACACAGGCTGGTGTGCTTCTTCCATTTGGGCTTTATTGCTTCTCAGCTAGATGGCTGCTTGTTTACCTTCAAGTCTTTAAGACCCTAGACCAGGCGTCCTCAAATTATGGCCCGGAGGCCACATGCAGCCCGGCCAAGGACATTTATCCAGCCCGCCAGGTGTTTTTGCCCTGTTTTGTTTTTTTTCAAAATAAGATATATGCAGTGTACATAGGAATTTGTTCATAGTTTTTTTAAAAAACTATAGTCTGGCCCTCCAATGGGTCTGAGGGACAGTGAACTGGCCCCCTGTTTAAAAAGATTGAGGACCCCTGCCCTAGATGCTATATCTTTTGATACCTGGGCTCCATCAGATTTCTTCACCATGTTTGCTTGTGTACCTGCTTTGTCTTCAGCGATGGTGTTGGGGGGGAAATTGCTATGAAGAAAATAGCAGTTAGGGGAGATCAAGGCAATACTGTACACACAATTCACTGGTTACATTTCATTTCAGAGCATCGTGGGCCACCAAAAATAACCTCGGGGCTGCATGCGGCCCGCCAGTTTGACATCCCTGGTCAAGCTAATGCTATCAATAAGCTGGTTATTTTGTTGTTGTTTTAAGTTAGTAAGAAATGTTGTTTTAAGTTATAGGGTTACCATATTTTTCGCACATAGCATGCCCATGTATATAGCATGCACAGTATGCATAGGATACTAATGTGTAGGGGGTTGCACCATTTGGGGAAATACCTCATAATGGAGGCAATATTTGTATAAAATATGGTTGCTTCATGTTTTAAGAGTAATTGTATTTTGTGTATACATTACAATTTAAAGCTAACTTTCATTTTTTAAATAAGTAAATGCTTTAAACTTTAAAATAAATCACAAGAAAATTATGTAGGAAAAACAAAGATTGCCTTTCTCAGTATCTCATTTGCAACAGATTAGCCTTATCAATAAATCATTTTGGTTATCATTAATTTTAACTTTAAATTTCCGTGAATGGGTTTCCTTGCTATTTCTCAGGAGTGCATTTCCTTGCTTTCAGCAGTGCCAGTGTGGACGGGTTCAGGAAAAGACCCCTCATTGTGTTTGATGGAAGTTCAACAAGTACGAGCATCAAAGTGAAAAAGACAGAGGATGGCGATAACGACCGGCTAAAGCCTCCCCCGCAGGCAAGCTCTACCAATAATGTCTTTCGAAAATTACCCAATTCCTCTTCAGTTGTTTCACCCCTAACTTTGTCTTCCAATTTTCCTGTGAACAATGAAATGGAACATGATATTAATGACACTAAACAGAACCATGACTTAGCACATAGGGAAAGTTCTTTGGACGCTGTGAAGTTGCCACCGTTATCCCCGGTTGGAACTACGCCAGTGAAGTTAAAGCGAGCTGCTCCTAAGGAAGAAGCAGAGGCTGCAGTAAGTAGGTGGGCGGTGGGGTAGCGGGCAGGATGGAATGACTTCATCCCAGTTAGGTGGGTGAAACCTGAATCCTCTGCCCAGGAGCCTGAGATGGGCCAGGTGTGCCAAGTGGTGTTCTTCCATTCCCCCTCCCCCACCTCCCACCATCCCATCCCCTCCCCTGAATGTTGTTTTTTTTGAACCCTTTAGTGACTGGTTTTATTATTTATTTAACTTTTTTTAAGATCATTTTATTGGGGGCTCTTATAGCTCTTATAACAATCCATACATCAATTGTATCAAGCATATTTGTACATATGTTGCCATCTTTCTTTAAATCATTTTATTGGAGACTCCTGCAACTCTTATCACAACCCATACACACATCCATTGTGTCAAGCACATTTGTACATTTGTTGCCATCAACATTTTCTTTTGACTTGAGCCCTTGGTATCGGCTCATTTTTTCCCCTCCCTCTCCCACCCTCTCTCATGAACCCTTGATAATTTATAAATTATTATTATTTTTTCATGTCTTAACTGATCGATGTCTCCCTTTGGTTTTATTTTTTACATCTCATTGCTTTTATGTGTTTTGTACCCTGAAAATTGTAAAATCCTTGATCGTAAACCCATTTGAAAAACTGCATTCAATTAGTTTCTGCTTAAAATACAAAAGGGCTTCTGAAAGTTCATGGGGAAAAACCCATTATCTTTAGTTCCATTTGCCTGTGTGCCTTTTGACTCCCCCTTGTATATGAAGAGACTTTCGGAGGCACTTCCCCCGGTGGTTCTCATGGAGTGCCTTTAGTCCGCTGTCATGGACCTAAAAGACATACTTCCTTTATTAGTGAGGCGCAGAATGTTAAGTAATTTGTCCTGGGGCACACATTTAGTAAGTAGCATTTTGTGAGCTGTAATCTTAAATGGACACCAGAGTCTTGTAACATTTAGCTTCTGCCTTCTAACCCCCTTAAATATACCTATCAAGGACAGGCTGTAGGAAGTCTGGGAGGTCTATTACATTGTGTTCTACCACATTTAACCATCATTTTAGTAACATTTGGCTGTTAGAATTTTGATATGCTGGCAAATTCGGTACAAACATTTCATTTGTGAGTGATGATTAGTTTTGTATTGTAAATACAGTCACTTTTTCCTAGGTTCCTGAGAAAAGTTAATTCCTTTTTAAAACACAGTAATTGTAGAGCCTTCATTTTGAAGGTACACTTCAATGTTATTATCACTGTCTAAACATGCATCAAAGGAATCAAGAGTAGCTCATGTAGTGAAAACACTAGTTCCTATTGGAGGAAAGAGAAGGCATTTATGTATTTGACAGACCTGCAGTTCTTTGGTTTGATAAATATTTATAGATTACTTTCATAAGAAGTGAGGAAGGTTTAAAATTATGCAGTAGGCACCATTGTTACTCCCATTCAAACAGAACAAACTGTTCCTGAAGAAACAAGCAGAGGACATTTAAATAAATGTCCTGGTTTCCAGGATTAATAGTGGCCAGGCTTGAACTAGGGTGTTTTTGATCCCAAGACTGCTGTCTCAGTACTTATGAGAGATAGGATGAGGGTTTTGAATGAGTTAGGGGGCAAAAATCCACATTTCAAAGATAACCCTGAGCATTACACACATACACAGACATATATGTGCCCAGGTTCTTCAACTGTGCTCCTCTCCCCCTGGCCATTTCACTTTCTCAGAGCTGTGTGTGGGTTTTTTTGAAAGCCTAATCTTACTACTGTTTTCCACTGATTTTGGATTATAAGGTAAAGGGAGGAGGTCCTGACACGAACAGGTTTGGAGTAGTCCATGGTTCTTTAGGAGCATCTGAGAAACATCCCAAATGAGGTAGTTGGAGCCCAGTCTCCCCTCCCCTGCACCCAACTCCAATGGATTCTGATTAAATAGTCTGGCCTGAGGGCCTGCTTTGAACCTGTTTTTAAGTGCCCTTGGTGGTTTCTATTGTACAAACATTTGAGAAGAAGTGGAAGGTGGAGGGGAGGAAATTGGGAGCCAGGGAAGATATGTTTTTCTGACTTTGCTTATTTCACTCAGAATATTTTCAAGATCCATCCATGCTATCACACATACTAGAACTTCATTTTTCTTTATGACCGCATGCTATGCCATTGTATGTGAACTGCATTTTGTTCCATCTCTTCCTTAATGGATATCTGGCCATTACAGCTTTTCATTTTCGTGTTCCACATTCTCACAGTGCTCCAGTCAACATTCTTATCTCCTCCTGCAAGTCACAGAATATATTCCCGCCAGATGGCACTAGTGAGCTACCAGTAATGAGCCTTGGTGTTTAAATCCCCTTTAAGACCAAATTATTTTCTGCTTTAAATTTTTTGCCGAAATGGTGTAGAGGGCATTTTGAATGAAATAGGGGTGGGGTTTTTTTGACAATAGAATTCTTACTCAGTTAGTGGGGCACATATGTCTCATGGGGTCTGTGGTGCTTGAAAGAGCTTGCCGGGATGAAGTTCATTCCTATAGATTCACCCAGTTTTGCAGGCCCCCCCCCCCCAGATGGCAGCATGCACTCAAGGTGGAAATGCTGGTGGTTACAGGTTACAAAAGGGCTGCTTTCTTTCTGCGTGTATGAAACGGTTTCTGTTCATCTCTTTTCAGAATAACCTGAAGCCCCCAGAAGCAAAGAGGAAGATACAACATGTTACATGGCCTTGAAGGAAAATTTCCAAAAATGTAAATACAGCTATAACTAGTTTTTCACACAAGGTCACAGTTACTGACAGTATTTATAGGGCCCTGATTATTAAAGAATTTCCTTAACAGGTTTAAGATTAGGTAAGAAAGGTCATGTTATTTCCCCTTTTTTCCTAAATTTTACTTCTTTTCTTTAAAATTCTTGCCTCAGATAGCCTGAATCTGAGAAAAGTTGCTTTTGTTGTTGTTTTTTTTAAACTAATGACTTAGTCTAAGTCATTTATATTGGTATTAGTCATATCCTGAGCTGCAAGTTTGATATAAAGCATTGTGTGCATTTTAGGAATTATTCTGTTTGTCTCAGTCATTGGAAGGGGAGGGGCACATTTTGTAACTAAAATATTTTACTAGCCACAATTTTCCCTGTGTTGCTTCTTTCCATCAGAATGAAAGGGGCAATCAGGGCTTACTACTGCTCTTCCCTTCGATATGCTACCAGGATTAATTTATCATGATCGCTCGGTCAGTTTCTATCCTTCATCTTTCTGAGCCCTGATGGCACCACAGCTAAAGCATTTGGCTGTGAATCCAAAGGACAGTGGTAGGAACCCACCAGTCCTTCTGTGGGAGAAAAATCAGGTCATTTGCTTCCTGGAAGGTTACAGCCTTGGAACAGTTCTACTTTGTCCGGTAGGGTTGCTGTGAGTCAGAATAAACTTGCTGGAACTGGGTTTTGTTTGGTTGCGAAGCCTTCTCTTGCCGTGCAGTTGTCCATCACGCTTTTCATGAGCAGCCTGTGATTACACTTTTGCTGTTTGCATGTTGCTCCCTCATCGAAGTCTAATCATTTAAAAATTAAGTTTTCTTAAACCTTCAGGTTAAGTAATCATGTTAGAGGTGATACCTGGTGGCAGGAAGTATAGAAAAAAGGAAGGTGAGAACAGAGTTCTAGAACATCTAAGAGTCTGGGAAGTATAGCAGCGCGGGCCTGGGGAGAGTCGAAGGGCACTGAGGTCCAGACAGCCCTGCAGAGTGCGGCAGGAAAAATGCCCCCCTCCCTTAAGTGACCTAATGGGGACAGCTTGCTACCAGCAGTCACACAGATTCACTAGTCAGGTTTGTTGATTTTTTTTTTTTTAAATGGTATTATCATTCCAGTTGTATAATGGAAGTCAGTAAGATAACAGGATTTACCGTATATGTCAACCTTTCTGAAAGAATTAATACTTTTCTCTCCTTGTATGATTGAGCTTAACATTGGCATCTGCCCTTCCTAATTTAGAGTCTCATTCCTCTTTTGATGTTAAAACAGTCATTTGAGTTCAGGTATTGAATAACCTTAAAATTTATTTGATCCTGTCAGTATTGTTACTAAAACTTAAAATTTTCAGTCTGGTCATTATTCCAGACTGTAAATCTGAAAATGTAAGGCATAATTGATGCATCCTAAGTGTTGCATAAATGGTTAATGGTTTTAAGTATATCAGTATCTGCAGGGCTGCTATATGTTATATTGTTGATGTGTATCAGTGATCCCATAAATAAACATATATTAAGGGTGAGTTTAGAATAGAAAAAGTTCTAGTTTCTATTCAACTCATTTGTTCCCCTCTGCTTCCATTTGCATTTTTCTCTCGGTTAAGAGAGAATTAGCCATTTGACAATTTTAAGTCAGTGGTAGCGAATTTTCAGTTATGCAATTAGATTAATTTTTTATTTGTATATTTACCTTACAGAGTATGTTGGTAATAACAGCTGAATTGTGTAGCGCTGTTGCTTCAAATTGAAGTTTATACTATGACCGTTCAGAGTCCGTGCTCAGATAGCAGCGTGCTGAGCTCGGTTGAGTTTGCAGTGTGCAGAAGAGCTGGACGTGACTTCACACACTATGTAATGCCTGTGCCTTTGGGAGTTTGCAGACACAGCTTGTTTTGAAATGTCACTCTCCACTTCGTGAAGCACACGGAGTGAAGGGAACCAAGCAGAAGTGTTGGAAATCTTCTGTTTTGCAATGTTGGGTGGTGTGCTTTGAAGGTTAAAGGGACTTAATATTAGTGGGCTACAACTTCAGAACACCCTTATTTCACTAGCCTGGGTTACTTTTGTTCCTTTCTTAAGGGGATGAGTGGCATCCGAGTCGGCGGGCGGCTGTATAGTTACAGGCACTTCACCACTTCTTGCCACTGGCAAGTTGTCTTTGCTCTTTATTTTGTTTTGTTTCCGCTTTTTTATCCTGTTTTCCTATCCTTTTAATTGATTTACTTCCATTCTCTTCCTCCTTTCTCTAGATCCTAAGCCTAGGCTTAGGTTTATAAGTCATACTGCTTGACCCTGCTCATTCACTGCACAGTGAAGATGGACTGAGTCCCCAGGCCTTTTAAATGTGAGGGCTCCTAGGCTGCTGTGGGAATTCCAGAAAGTCTCCGAGCCATGCCACATCAGGACTTTGATCTGCTTCCCAGAGCCTGTAAAGGCAGTATAGTCTTCCAGAACCAGCTGCTTAATCTAGAGAGCTACCGGGCACTGAGGAAAGTAAGTTCAGCTGATAGTATGAAACCATAATATATTTGCTAATATTTAAAATCCTTCAGAATTGCAATTGCTATTTGAAACAATATTTTGGTTGGCTTAAGTTTTGAGAAATTCTAAAGATGATCTAGAGATTCACTCAGTAGCAATGATCTTTTTTAAACTTACACTAAGTAAAACTGCCAGTAGATTAAATCATACACCTGTAAGAGCTCCCTCTGTTTACTACTGTGGAATTTCTGTATTTTTGTAGAGGCTTCAAAATTATCGACATGTTTTTAAGTGTGCTCTTTTATTAAATGCTTGTGCAAGTTTTGTACTTCAGTGCAGGAAAGTTTAACCTTGTAATGTATGTACATTTTTGTATATAAAAAAATATTTCAAGTAGCCTTATCCTTATTTAAATAAACAGAAAAAAATCACATTTGGAATATGTCTGTTAATTCGTTAAAAAAATTAAAATGTAAAAAGCTTTTAAAATTAACTATATTGAAAAGTGTTTTTCTTTACAATCCAACCTTTTGTATCTGATTTAGTTGAGATCAGGCATAATCCAAATAGGTCACCGTAGCCCTCCTGTAAAAGCCCTGGTAGTATAGTGGTTACAAATTAGGCTGAAATTGGCAAGTTTGGCATTTCTAAGCCACCGGTCGCTCTATGGGAGAAAGACAAGTTTTTCTACTATGAAGAGTTACCTAAAGAGGCAGTTCTACCCTGTCCTATAGGATTGCTAGGGATTGGCATAAACTTGACAGGAGTAAGTGTGAGTGAAGCCGCCTGTGGATGAGAGGGCACTACCGTAATCTGGGATTTGAGATATGATGCTACAGAGGTTGACAGAGTTCCCTGGCCATTAGCCAAAGGGTTGGACGTTCAAGTCTACCTATGGCACCTTCAAAAGTCTTGGTGGTCTACTTCCCCTAAATTAGCCATTGGAAACCCTATGGAGCACAGTTCCATTCTGATATGCAGGATGTCACCATAAGTTGCAACTGGTTACTCTTGAGGGAGGGTAAGAATTAAGGGGCATTCAAATTATGGTATTAGCTAAGAATATTGTGTCTACCATAAGGTGACCAGATGTCCCGCTTTTGGCGGGACAGTCTCGATTTTTAACAATTTTTCCCACATCCCGCGGCATTTTTAAAAAGTCCAAATTGGCCGTAGCTGCCGCCGGTGCTCTCGCTGTGCCGGCCGCCTGCCGCTCGGCCGACTCGCCCCGCTGAGCTCACCCCACTCCTGCAGACATGTCCGAGGCCATTCCCGGCCCCGAGTACGCCGCCTTTTTTGGCATCATGGGCGCTACGGCCGCCATGATCTTCAGCGCCCTGGGCGCCGCCTATGGCACTGCCAAGAGTGGCCCGGGCATCGCAGCCATGTCGGTCATGCGGCCGGAGCTGATCATGAAGTCCATCATCCCTGTGGTCATGGCGGGCATCATCGCCATCTATGGCCTGGTGGTGGCTGTCCTCATCGCCAACTCCCTGAATGAGAAGATCACCCTGTACAAGAGTTTCCTGCAGCTGGGCGCCGGCCTGAGTGTGGGCCTGAGCGGGCTGGCGGCTGGCTTTGCCATCGGGATCGTGGGGGACGCCGGTGTGCGCGGCACAGCCCAGCAGCCCCGGCTCTTTGTGGGCATGATCCTGACCCTCACCTTCGCTGAGGTGCTGGGCCTCTATGGGCTCATCGTGGCCCTCATCCTGTCTACCAAGTAGCCCCTCACCGAGCCCAGCCGCCACCGAATCCGATGTAAAGACCACCCCTTCTCATTCCAGAATGAACAGCCTGACACACGCCAGGGCCGCTGACCCCTCAGTAGCTGGTCTTGTAAATGCGCAGTGTCTTAGTGCCCATTGTCTGTGCCCACTTTGCCCCCCTGCCCCGTGCCTTGGACGTCCGGGCCCACTCCTCCCTCTGCCCCAGTGAGGCGCAGCCCCAGAGTGCTCTGTGTATCAGGTTGACTAGACACGTCATTTTCTCTTCACTGGATGTTTTATTTATAAAGATTTGACCTGTTCATACATCTGTGGAGCAGCCCTCGTCGCCCATTCTATAGCAACTTTAGGTAGTGTCCTGTGGGCTCCCGGTGGCTGACATGTGATGTGATGCCCCTCGCTGGGGCCGCCCCGGGAGAGCTGTGCAGGGGGTCTGTGGGCCCTTGAAATCGGTGTCCAATAAAGTTCTCGGATGTGACTGGAAAAAAAAAAAGTCAAAATTTTGGGAAAGAATTCACGACAAGCTAGGGTATGCGGTTTTCGGTTGCCATGTGGCTATTCCACACAGAGGCCTCATTAGCTATATGACTGGATTGACAGACTGGACTCCACTCCTTTGCTCAAGTTGACAGGAGATGATGTAACTGCCACAATCGGTCAAATTGACAAAGCAAAAAGAGAAGAAACAACTCAATGAAATAACACGAGATAGGAGACATTTCAACAGTACCAAAAAGGATGAAACATCATACCAGAATATTGTGAAAAATACTTCACCTAATTTGAAAACCTAGGAGAAATGGACAAGTTTTTAGGTACACATTACCTACCTAAATTAACACAAATAGAGTGTTTTTTAAAAATCTGAAGAGACCTATCACAAAAGAAATTGAAAAGGTCATAAAAAGTTCCCAACAATAGAAAAAGCCCTGGCACAGATGGAGAATGTTACTAAACCCTTAGAGAGTTGACACCAACCCTACTCAAAATATTCCAAAATAAAGAGGAGAAATACCTCCTACTTCCTTCTAAGAAGCCAGCATAACATGCCAACGTCAGGCAGAGACACCACTAAAATATAAAATTAGAGACCCACATCCCTCATGAATACAGGCACAAATATTTCCAACAAAATTATGGCCAGCAGAATTCAACAACAACAAAACCATTGAGGCAGTTAGCTTATTGTGCCAACCTGGCCGATAAACACGGGTTAATTGAAGGGCAGAGCGATAAATCGCTCAGTGAGCCTCACCTTTCTAGTTCTCGGGTCTCGTGCTTTGTGATGGTCCGACCAGGTGCAGCTGCCTTAGCAGTTCCCTGTGTCTCCTGCCAACAAGGAGGAAATACAGGAGTTCCCAGAATTCTCAGGAGAAGACCATGTTCACACAGAGACCTCATTGGCTATACAATGCTTGACATGCTAGACTCCACCCCTTCACTCTTAATCCTCAAATTGACACCAGAGTTATGGAACTACCACAGATATTTTTTTTAAAAAACAGCAAAGATAAGAAGGCAAGGAGAGAAAAGAAAGCTAGATCAATGGAAAGAACAAACACAAAAGATGTTATGGAAGGCACACCTGGTGAAAAGTGTAACCCGTGCCAGGGAATAATCGGCAGAGAAGATGTTCAATGCCAACCCAGTTCACCTCCTTGGCTTTGTGCCTGTGCTTGTACCCACACCGGGCCGTTGTACCGTGGGTCTTGGCTCCTGCTGCTTTGTTCTTCTTTGCTAATGCTTTGCTTATCTGAGGGCTCTTTCCTTTGCTGTCAAGTCGGTGATCAGTTTTTCCGTCTGTTTAAAGAGTAATGGTGCACTGTGGATGGGCCCAGTGACCCATCTGGACCAGGATTTTTTTTTTTATAATGATCTGTTAAACCTCTTATTTTGTGATGAGTCTGTTCAAAGTTCCGATTTTAGAAGGTTAGTTTAGCTTTCAAACCTGTTGAAGTATAGTTCTTCATATTATTATTAATCCCACTGTAATTTCCATAGACACTCTTGTGACATTGCCTATTGTAGTGGTCGGTGTCACGTGTGTCATCTACTTCTCCTTTGCCGGTGATTGACCAATTTTATTCTTCCTTTCAACGAACCAACTTCCAGTCTTGCTGATTCCCTCCATTATGTTTCCGTTTTCAGTTTCATTTATTTCTGCTTGAATCTTTATTGTTTCCTTCCTTCTGATAACCTCCCCCACCCCCTCTCTTTCTTTCTTTCTCTCTCTAATCATTGAAGATGTTGGTTTAGGTGTTGACTTAGATTTTCTTCTTTTTTTATCTTCATTTTACCGGGGACGCTTACAGCTTTTATTATTTTTATTTATTTATTCATTTATTTATTTATTTATTTATTTTGCTTAAAACATTTTATTATACAACTGTTACAACTCATACAACTGTTATCGCAATCCATACACACATCAATTGTGTACTCTTACAGCTTTTATAACATTCCATACATCAGTTGTATCGAGCATATTTGTACCTATGTTGCCATCATCATTTTCTAAACATTTACTTTCTGTTTGAGCCCTTGGTATCACCTCCCCCCGCCCCCCCCCACTTCCACCCTCATGACTTCTTGATAAATTATTATTGTTTTCATATCTAACACCGATTGCAGTCTCCCTTCACCCATGTTCCTGTTGTTCACCTCCCTGGGGAGTGAGGGGCGGCAGGGATTATGTGTTAATCATTGCAATCAGTTTTCCCTTCCTCCCATCTTTCCCCTGTCTTCCCCATACCCTCCTGGTATTACTAATCCCATTTCTGTTCCTGACCTGGATTCCATGTGTCATGTACTCTTATCTGTACCAGTGTACATGCTCCGGTCTAGCCAGAACTGAAAGGCAGGACTATGATCATGATAGTGGGGGATGAGGAAGCCTCAAAGAACCAGAGGAATATTGTTTTATCAGTGCTAGACTGCACCCTGGTTGACTCATCCCTTCCTTCTGACCCTTCTGTGAGGGGATATCCTATTATCTACAGATAGCTTTTGGTCTCTGCTCTAACAACCCCACCACCCATTCTCAACAATATGTTTTTGTTGTTGTTTTGGGCCTTCTGATGCCTTTTACCTGATTCCATCATCACCTCATGATCACACAGGTTGGTGTGCTTCTTGCATGTGGGCTTGTACTTTTCTGCTACATGGTTGCTTCTTGTTTAACTTTAAACCTTTAAGATCCCAGACACTGTATCTTTTGATAGCCTGGCACCATCAGCTTGCTTCGCCACATTTGCTTATGCACCCATTTTGCCTTCAGTGATCATGTAGGGAGAGTCAGCATCATAGAATGCCAGGCTATTAGAACAAAGTGTTCTTGCATTGAGTAAAGGCTTGAGCAGAGGCCCAAAGTCTGTCCACTTCCTCAATGTATTGCCATTATAAATATACATACCTTGACCAACACCTCTATGTTTATGAATTAATATAGTCACATAATTGCATACCTATGTTTATACCTCTATCCATAGCTTTGCTTCCTAGATCTTTCCTCTGTTTCTTTCTACCTTCCTCCTGCCCCACCATCATGCTCGCCCTTATTCTGCCTCTTAGTAATTCCTCTCAGCTAAATTGCTGTTGCTCCAACCAGACCGAGATCTCTAAATCCTCCACTTCTTTTTTTGATGTATATTTTTATTGCTACAATGATCCTCTCAGTCTGCTTGTGCTGTTAACATGTTGTGTTTACATTCTTATTTAATTGAAGGAATTTTTAAAATATCATCTGTATTTTTCTGTCAAACAGAAAGTCATTTTAAAGCAGGATGCTGTTCAGTTTCCATGTGTTTAAGCCCATGTCCCACTCCTGCCTCCCTGAGTACACACACTTGACCTTCCCATTATAATTTTCTAATTGTATGGCATGATGATCTGAGAAGTTGCTTCTAAATTTATTGAGGTTTACTTGTGGCCCAACATAGTCTGTTCTGGAATATGTTCCATACATGCTGGGAACGAATGTATACTGTGTGGTTGCTGGGTGGAGTGTTCTATACATATCTGTGAGATCTGATTGCTTGATTGTGTTTTGAGATTTTCGGTATCTCTGCTGAATTTCCTGCTAATGGTTCTGACCTTTATCAAAAGTACTATAGTAGTGTTTCTCAACCTTCCTAGCGCCTCGACCTCATGTTGTGGTGACCCCCCAACCATAAAATGATTTTCGTTGCTACTTCATAACTATAAATTTGCTGCTGTTATGAATCGGGTGACCCGTGAAAGGGGTCGTGACCCACAGGTTGAGAACCGCTGTACTAAAGTCTTCTATGGTTTTTGTTGTTACTTGTTCCAGTTCTAGTCAGGTCTGTGTATGCCTTTTGGTGCTCTTTAATTGGGTCCCTAGATTTTCATTATAGTTGTCTTTTTGTAGCACTGACTTTAACCATGTTAAGATGTGCTTCCTTGACTCTTGCTTCAAAGGATATTAATACACTCCTGTTCTTTATGGTTGCCATTTGATGAGGTTTGCCCCCAACCTTTGATTTTTTTCAGCTTATTTTTGTCTTTTTGTCTAAATTGTCTCTTGGAGACAACACACTGATGGGGCATATTTTCTCAGACTTTCTGCTACTCTCTTTTTAAAAGCATTTGAATTCTGTATCCCCGGAAGTCCCAGTAGCATTTCTTCCTCCGGAAGATTTTCTGGCACCGTGTTCTAGTTATTTGTTCAAACCATCTATTTCATGGTGTGTGTGCTTGACACTGTCTGCTATCTCGGAGACATTGTGGTGTTATTGGATTGATGTGCTGATGGCGTGTGGGCTTGCACCAGCCTGCCTTTTTGTTTTCTCTCGCTTTCATAAGGGGGCTTCAAAATGTCATGGGTAATATCTCATCCTATTATAATTAAAAGATTTCCCGGAGTTTTGAATTCCCTTCTTGTATAAGAGTAAGGGGAAGGGAAGAACCGGAAGGAAAGGGCCTGTGCTCGCCCTGCACTCTCATCATTGCATGTGGCTGTGTGAGTCTGAAGAGAGATGTATGGACCAGTCTTGGATTTATGGGCTTGTTCTGGACTGGGCTGGGAGTGCTGCCTTGATATGTAATGACCTTTTGATATAAAGCTCTTTATTACCCATAGATGAGTGTTCTCGGATTTGCCTGTGTAGTCAACCCGGCCTATCACAGGTCCCCTGAAAACAAGCAGCCAGACTAATCTCCATGCCCGGGTATGCAATCTCATGGAAGAAGATGATTTTTCTTGGTGACGTCCACGAGGCCCTATCAGAGTAGTGTGCCTAAAACCTCATCACCATAAACAATTACACCGAATCGCATCTAAGCAGAGCAGATTAGCCATAGAGAGGAACAAGCAAAAGAAGAAACACAGATCCCACATGGATACCACCAAGAAGCCAAGCCAGAGCTACAGAAACTCAAAGATCTTTCCCAAGAGACAACAGAGTGAGCCTTTGCTGAGCAAGAGCAAGGGCCAGGAATGTGCAGCTGGTCATGTAAGGCTCACAAAATCATCAGGAGCACGAATATCACATGCCTCACCAAAGAGAAGCTGCTCCAGCCATCACGCCAGGAGGGAGTCGATCAAACCAGTATGGCCTGAGAATGGTGTTACAAATACCCAAATGGTCTTGGGCAGGGTTTAAAAAAAAAAAGGTTCCTTGGCCTTGCCCTAGAGCCAGGGCCTGGATTTGGGTGTGTAGCCTCCTACGCTGGGAGAGAACACGCTTCTCTGTGTTAAAGCAAGTCACCTGCAGGCGAGGTCTGAGAATCTAAGGCAGGTAGGGACCCTTGAACATGGGAATGAGCTGAGCTCTGTCGAGAAAGGTGCCCTGAAAACTGGCTTCCCGGTTATTAACATTGCACGTGTTCAAGTTCTAGAGCGGCTGTTACTGCATCAAGGTCAGCGCATTACATTGCAAGGAAAAGCGAGTCTCTGGAAGAGGCGAGGTAGTGAGGAGAGACACACTGCTGGTTGAAGGCCATTTTTCCTTGGGTTTTTCGTTTTGTTGTTGTTTGACATAAAAGGTGTGGTGCACTTTAACACTGACGCAGGCCCACCAGAAGGTGCCCTTCATAGAACGGATCACCGAACCTTTGGTGATCCATCAAGGATCATCAAGGTGAACCTCATGGATCCAGCAAGTTACTTACACTCAGACCCTCCGCCTTTCAACACGGTCCCACACGCTGCCTGGCACAACAGTTCTGTATTGAATAACTTTATTGTCAGATACATGAGCTTGCCGTAGGCTTACAATGACAGGAAGTTATACAGCGGTAAATACCAACTCTTCATCACCATATGTAGCTTGGAAAACTTGTTTTAGTGACCCCTGCTAATTGCGATGAACAATTCAATACACAGTGAAAGAAAGGTACATTTAAAAAGAATAGCATTCTCCAAGGAGGTTTACTGTTGGGCTGCCTGGCAGCATTACAAGAATTCAAGACCACCTTCCCATCAAGGGTGTGTGTTAAGCGCTCTCCTGCCCCAGGCACTGAAGTAGGAGAGGGGATTAAAGGGCTGAAACAGACATGACGGTCACTGAGAAGCACAAGAGGGAAGTCTTCAGGTGGCCGACGGGAACCAGGGCGCCATATTGCCCGGCCGGCCCAGAGAAAGATCTGCGTATCTGCGTGTGTACTGCCAGCGCCGACTTCTTTGTCTTCGCCTTCAGATGTCTTTCCCACAGTCGGGGCACAGGATGTCGTCCCGTTCCGTGAGGAAGCCTCGGCCCACCAGGGAGAGGGAGCACTTCTTACAGTTAAAGCAGTCGTTGTGCCACTGCCGCTCCTCAAAGGAGATGTACTTCGTGCCTCCGATCCCTGTGAACACAGGGTAAAGCAGGTGGGGAGAGCAGAGAGAGCAGCGACCGCCCGGCTGGGCCGGGAGGCTTGGCACAGTGGATCGGAGGTTGACCGTAACCCACAGCGACCTGAGCACATGACAGCGTGGCACTGCCCCACACAGTTATCTAGTATGGGAAACAGAAGAGTGATTCTCCAGGATGTCCCTCCCCAATATGTGCCAAATCTAAGGTGCTGTTTGCAAACACATGGTCACTTGACCATACACTTGGAGGTCAACTGCTTAAAGGTTATCTGCTTGAAGGTTGTCAGCCATCTAGACCAATCAGGTCCTATAGTCTGTCCCACCCTAAGTAGGGCCCACTCCCTTCTGATAAGGATAATGGATTGCTCCCTTAAAGGAGAGCCTAGAGACACCTATGGTCAAGCTAACTCAGGGATGGCCAAGGTTAGGCTGCCATCTTGAAATATGGTCTTTCTCGCTGCATGAATCTGACTCCTGAAGTCATGGAGGCTCTGGAGGTGAGCACTTGCTTGCTTTATCTTGTCTGATGTCTCTTTAATTTTACCCCTCAATTACACAACCACCTCTTGGACCCATTCGATTGTGGAGACTGGTACCCCACATTTAGTCTCTAATCTTAGGGGGAGTCCTGGTGGCTTAGTGGTTTGGGACTGGGCTGCTAAGCGCAAGGTCAGCAGTTCAAAACTGCCAGCCAGCACCATGGGAGAAAGTCGAGACTTTCTACTCCTGTACAGTCACAGTCTTGGAAACTCACCTGGGCAGGTCTACCCTGTGGTACAGGGTCGCTATGAGTGGGCATCGGCTCGATGGCAGTGAATAATCTTTATGGGAACAGACTGCCAGGTCTTAGAGAGCCACTGGTGGGCTCACTGCCAACCTGTCGGCAGCCACGCACTTCACCACTGTACCACTGGGGCTCCTGTACATCAGGGTGCTGGGAGTCAAAAGGGATTCTGGTTTGATGTGTTTCAAAGATCAAATACGGACCACCAATCAACGGCATGGGACTGAGTTTGGACACAGCACATAGGGGAAGTTGGTGCCCCTCAAGAATAGACTTCTCTCTCCCCACCCATGCCCTGATTTGTGTAGCAGTTAAAGGGGCTGCCACCTGTTCCCTACGGGAATATTCTCGGCGTGTAGTCTATTCCAGCACTTGCTCTTCGAGGCCAGCTAACTCAAGGCCTCTCACTTGGAAGGATGCAAAAGCCGTATCCAGAACGTGCCCTGTGCCTCTACAGGACGGCGGCCTTTAGTAGAAAAGCCTCACTAGGGTTCTGGGGAGCACAGTACCACTGCTCACCCCCCAAACACCAGCTTCCCATGGGCTTCTCTGGGTGCGGTCCTGAAGCCAATCCACCCAGAGCAGAAACCCTAACCCTACAGAGGTCAGGTCACAGGCGTTGAAGGGACCATGTGAACAAGAGGTGAAGCAGTGACCTGCGGAAGTGTCCTTAAGGTGGTTTCACCTGTTTGGAACCTTCACTGGCCTAGTGGTTTCAGTTCTAGAAACAGATGCCCATGCTAAAAATGTCAGACCCTGTTATCTCCGAACTGCTATGCGAAGGCAGGCAGATGGCCTGGGTTTTAAAGTGGGGAGTCCCAGTGAGGTTCAGGCTAAATACTTACCACTGATGGGGTTGGTGCAGCCAGCACACTTCTTGGCGTATAAATCACAGAAGCAACCCAGGCAGTAGGCAAACTCGTCTCGAGAGGTGAAGCGCTGCCCTGACAGCTGCTTCTTGCAGGCAGTGCACACGAAGCACTCCTTGTGCCAGGGCTGCTCCCGATAAGTGACGCCCCCTGTGGTGATGGGCTGGCACAGAGGAGCAAGAGAGGACACTGTCAGCTTCCAGCTTCTCCTGTCAGGGCGGCCTGGCTCTTAGGAAATGTGTTCCTTCTCAGTTATTGCCAACTCAAATATCCTCCTTGAGCTGCCTTTAAACGCCACCAAAGAACAGGTCTCTGAGCTTGCTCAGTTCTCACTGCCATGAGTCAATTCTAACCCACAGCGACCCTACGGGACAGAGTCAAACCACCCTGTAGGCTCCTGAGACTATTTCTTTACGGGAGTAGAAAGCCTCCTCTTCTGCGGAGCTGTTGGTATGTTTAACTGCTGGCCTTGTGGTTAGCAGCCCAATGCCTAACCACTACGCCACCAGGGCTCCTAAAATCACCAAACTCGCTGCCTTTGAGTCCGTGCTGACACATCGCAGCCCCCTGTGGGTTTCCGAGACGGTAATTCCCAGATGCTTTAAGAGAGTAGACAGTCCAGGCTTTCTCCCGTGGCTCAGCTGGTGGTTTCAAACTGTGGATCACAGCCCAACTCATAACCACTACAGCACCAGGGTTCCACCCTCACCCCGATTCATACGCTTCCATGACAGGGCTCTAGACCCTGGTTTCTCCCCTCTGTGACAGAGGTACTAGAGAATGTCTGCTCTCAAGTCATCATATACTCCCCCCCACCCCCACCCCCATCCGGTCTAGCAGTTGCTTTCTTACTTCGGCGAGGGGAGCAGGCCAACACGGACAGTGGTGGGACAGACAGCGCATTCCGCTTCCCTCTCTGATGAAGTCACATGCCATGAACATGGGTGGCAAGGCTCAGCAGAGGGTAGAGCTGAAGGCGTTTTCCCTGTGTGCCCAGTAGTGCCCTCACCTCTGAGAGGACCACGACCCAGGCTCAACACACCGAGAGAGGTGCATGAGCAGCTCAGGGCACAAAGGAAGCCAGGCCTGGTGTCCGTGCCATTCAAGGCCCGAGGTCTACCTCCCTGGGAGAAGGAGGACTGAGAGTTGGGCTAGAGGTGCAAGACCCGAGGGAGGAGGACAAGATACCTTTTTGCACTGAACACACTGCATGGCATACTGCTTCTCATAGCAGGGCACACAGAAATTCTGATCGTCTTTCGGGATGAAACTCTTGGTTCCAATCGGCTGTTGGCAGCGATAGCAGGTGAAGCAGGTCTCGTGCCAGCTGCTGCCCTTATACTCCATCTTGCGGGTCCCTGTTGTTAGAGTCAAGGACGAAACAGAGGTAGTGTTACAATGACCATCTCGGGAGTCCAGTCAATCTATGTGCAGAGCACAGTGGCCGTAGCAAGCCACCCCTCTCAATCAAGATAATATTGGATTCGTAGATGGTAAGGACTTTTGTGTCCCTCGGTTCATGGCTATACACACACACCCCGCTCCTATAATAACATGTACACATAGTATGTGCTCCGTATTTATTTACTGACTAGGAGGGTTATGAGCAGTCCATGGAATATACATACAGTTGATTCTTGAACAACACAGGGGTAGGGGTTTGACCTCCTGCATGGTCAAAAGCCCATGTATTATTTACAGCTGCCCTCTGAACAACACGGTTGATATGAACAGGCCTGATTAACATAGATATTAACATAAGTTGCAGTAGTGGTGAGCTAAAAGGTTGAGAATATCCATTTAAAACACCCTGTGGCTCTAATTATCTCCACGTGGACAGTTTACCTCTCATTACCCTCTCATCCCTCTCAGTGTTTCCCAGAGTGGGCAATACTGGCCCCTGCTGGAGGCTCCACGATTCAGGGGTGCTGCAAAAGAAGCAGATGCAGACGCTTGCTGCTGGATTGTATGTTCCACCACACACGTTTTCAATCGTCATGGGGCCAGCAAGTAATTTTTTTTCTGAAAAGGGGGCGTAAGTTAAATGAGTTTGGGAGCTGAACCTAAGCTCTAACTGGAACGGCGAACTGCTCACTGTTCATACAGACGTGTGTCAAGTGCATACTTTTAACACCGAACCACATGGCAAGAGTAACGGGGAAAAAAGGTGTACACTTGGGCCCAAGTGGTTGAAACCTGCTGTTCCAAGGCCATGTGTGTATGTCTCTCAGCGTTTCAAAACACAAGGAGAACTCTGGACTTGTTCACACTAGATCTTAATGGGATGCACACTGGGAAGCTCAAGGACTTCTTGTCCAGTCACAGCCGGAAACTCTCAAACTCACGGCCACCAAGTCGACACAGCCTCCAAGGGACCCTGAAGGAGGGCAGACCTGCCCTGGTAAATTCGGAGACTGTAACTCTTTAAGGGAGTAGAAAGCCTTGCCTTTCTCCCTTGGAGCAGGTGGTGGCTTCGAACTGCTGACCCTGAGGATCACAGACCAATGCATAGCCACTAAGCCACGGGAGAGTTAGGTGTAAATCAGTGTCAACTTATGTGAAACCAGGAGGCATGACGAGATGCTATAAAAAGTTTAACACCGTGGTTTAGAATCTAGATTTTAGCTACAAGTCCAAACAGCAAGGCTAAGGGCCTGTAACTGATGGAACCGATGGCATGGTTGGTCCAGAGAGTATGTGCACCTGCAGTAATTAGGATACGTGGAGAGGAGAATTATCTCATTCAATGTTATTCCTGGAGTGCATTCTTAGCTTCCTAAGGCCCCCAAGAGCAGACATATGGGCATCACCTCCCATAGGTTATAGAAAATATGCCAGGAATGTAGGTAGGTGGCGTCATGGGTCGGGCCTGCCTGCGAGGGAATTCAAAGTGATGGCACATAGAGACCTTAAAAGCCGAGGAAGGGAATCTATGGAGTCCAATTGGGGAGTGATGAGTCCTGAAGTGAGGAAAATTACATTAAGCAATCGCATTTCAGTTAATGGCAGGAAGCTTCCGATGTCGATGTTAGAACAACTGTCTTCCGTCTCCAAGGGTTCCTCTTCTGATGTCTCTCAGGCAGGCCTTTGCCCATGGCTCTTTTAATCTCTGCTCTTCAGTCTGGACATAAAAGCCCGGGAAGCAGGACGTGCAGTCTTGGTGTGCGTGAGCGAGGGAGCAGTCCTTGGTCCACCCGGGGCTGGGGACCGGCTATGAGGGCCGGACACTTGGGACGTTCCTGTGGTTAGTTACTGTATTAGTCTAGGTACTTTGGAGAAACAAATCCACAGCGACTCATGTATAAGAGAGTTTTATACAAAGAAAATGTGCATCACAAAAACATCCCAACCCAATGCTGCCCAAGCCCACAAGTCCAACATTAACCCATACCCAACACC